TCTTTATTTTTAGTCCTTAGCAGCTAAAACCCGGAAGTTTTGATTTCGTTCAACATACTTTCCGGAAAAAGGTTTGACTCGTATAGTATGTGGTCCCAAATGGGGGGTATTACTTATAAACTTATAAACTTATAAATTATTTTCTATGGAAAGAAGGAAGAGATTAAGTGTCGCGAAGTCACGTCACTTTGTTTGCAAGTAGACACGTTTTGAGCCAAAAATGCAAATGTTACATATCAGAATTTTTGTAATGAAATTGGCTATCAGCACACGCGGAGATTTAAAGGTTATGCTAAATCTGCAATGAGGATATTACCTCATCTGCAAGAACCGTAGTAAAAAAAAATGTTCCCTCGTTCATAAGAGTATTTAATTATTTCTCATTCATGTCATTAAATGTACTATGTAATTACTAACTATAAAAATGAGCTTGATACATGCGTAATTATACTAATGGTACTCTTATTAACTATAAAAACAACAGCAGCAACAATAATAATGATAATGATGAAAATTGTAATTAAGATAATAGTATTAATAATGATCATTGTAATAATGATAATAAGAACAATAATAATGATAATGATAATGATACTAACAATAATAAGGATAATAGTGATAATGATGATGATGATGATGATGATAATAATAATGACAATGATAATAATAATGAATAACAAAAATAATAATGATAATGATGGTAACAAATATGATAATGATGGTAACAAATATGATAATGATAATAAATATAATTATAATAATGATTATAATAATAAAAATGATAACAATAACAATGATGATAATACTAACAATTGATAATGATAATGATGGTGATAGCATTTGTAACGATAATAATAATAATAATGATAATAATGATAAGTAATAATATTAACAGCAATAACAATGATAATAACAATAAAGATAATAACAACAATAATAATAATAATAATTATAATAATATCAACAATAATAATAATAATGATAATAATAGTAGTAATAATGATGATGATGATGATACTAATGATAATGATAATCATTGGGAGAACCTTGGTAATTTTGATATTGATAATGATAATAATAATAGCAATAATAATGGTAATAATGATAATAATAATGATGATGTTAATATGTAATGCTAATGCTAATGCTAATAATAATAATAATGATAATAATTATAATAATAATAATAATAATAATGATAATAGTATCAATAATAATGATAATAATATTGATAAAGATAATAGCAATAATGACTATGTAATAATGATGACGATAATCGTAATAATAACGGTAACGAAAATAATGATATTGATAATACTAATGATAATGATAATAGTAATAGTGATATATAAAAAAAAAACTGTTGTAGCCTGGAATCATGCGGCTTCATTGTTCAAAAAAAAAATTGATCTGTCGCGGCCGATATTTTGCAGTCCGCAGTAATTACTTGTAACAAGACAAGTGGAAAGTAACAGGGCGTCATAAGGTGGATGAACCCTGCCCTCGAAAATCTGCGTTGAACGTCAGAGATAACTTGGCTGCCACATTACAAATTCTTTTGAAATTGTTTCAGAACCATATAATCAAGTCCAGGATGAAGGCACATCCATCTGCGCATAAAGGCAGTTGACGCTTCTCCCTCCCCCCCCTAAAAAAAAATCGTTCGTTAGTATCTCTTGCGATTGTTTCGAATCCTCTGCTCGAGACTTGTTCGAATCCTTTCAGAAACGTAGCTAGATTTTTTACTGTTTTACTCACTCCATAAATTAAATTTGAATGTTGGCTCTTTTTTTTGTAAATTATATTTTCTATTTTCTCTGTATTTCATTATATAATTGTTGGTTCCGATTTTTCTGTCTCTCTCTTTTGACTTAAATATAAAGGGTTCACTGGTCTGGAAAGTGTCCCTAAGTATAAACATTTTCTGTTTTAACCTTTTTCTAAAGAAGGGGTAGGCCGGGGTTTACCAAGGTAATACGATGTTTACGAAAGAGATGAAAGTGAATGATGTGGTTGCCATCGATGTATATTAAATTCTGGCATGTATTAAGTACATATATATGTATATCTATATCAATACATACATATATATACATATATATATATATATATATATATATATATATATATATATATATATATATATACATATATTAGGTTTGAAAGACAATTCTAATAGTTCTTTTTTTTGCATATATATACACATATATACATATAGATACATATATTATGTATCTATATGTATATATGTGCAATTCTAACAGCCCATGTATGTTTTTGCCCTTTGTAACCTGGAATTACGCGGGTACAGGATTCACATTATAAAATCCCAGAAACTGGATCTGTCGCTGCCGATTTTTTTGCAGCCTAACATTTACTGAAACAAGGTAGGTGGAAAGTAACAGGGCGGCATAAGCAGGGTGAACTCTACCTTCGAAAGTATGCGCAGAATGTCATAGATAACCTGGTTGCAAAATGACCTGAAAAATTTATAGAGTAATCTTCTAATGCACAAGAGAAAGGCACATCTATTTGCGCGTAAATAACGGTGACAATTCTCAAAAAAAAAAGAAAGAGAGAAAAAAATTGTTCATCTCGAATCCTCCGCGCAAGAAAGGTTCGAATCTTTAGGGACCGAAACTTGGCTCTTATAATTATTATCATTTGTTATTATTATCATTAATGTTTTTATCATAATTTTTATTTTCATTATTATTATCATTTGTTATTATTATCATTAATGTTTTTATCATAATTTTTATTTTCATTATTATTATCATTTGTTATTATTATCATTAATGTTTTTATCATAATTTTTATTTTCATTATTATTATCATTAATGTTTTTATCATAATTTTTATTTTCATTATTATTATCATTTGTTATTATTATCATTAATGTTTTTATCATAATTTTTATTTTCATTATTATTATCATTATTATTACTGTTATTATTATCCTTATTGTTATTATCATCATCATCATTGTTACTAGGACTATTATTATCATTATTATTACTGTTATTATTACTATCGTCATTATCATTATGATCATTATCGTTTTTACTATTATTGTTGTTATTATTATCATTATTATTACTGTTATTATTATCCTTACTACTATTATTATCCTTATTGTTATTATCATCATCATCATTGTTACTAGGACTATTATTATCATTAATGTTTTTATCATAATTTTTATTTTCATTATTATTATCATTAATGTTTTTATCATAATTTTTATTTTCATTATTATTATCATTAATGTTTTTATCATAATTTTTATTTTCATTATTATTATCATTAATGTTTTTATCATAATTTTTATTTTCATTATTATTATCATTTGTTATTATTATCATTAATGTTTTTATCATAATTTTTATTTTCATTATTATTATCATTAATGTTTTTATCATAATTTTTATTTTCATTATTATTATCATTATTATTACTGTTATTATTATCCTTACTACTATTATTATCCTTATTGTTATTATCATCATCATCATTGTTACTAGGACTATTATTATCATTATTATTACTGTTATTATTACTATCGTCATTATCATTATGATCATTATCGTTTTTACTATTATTGTTGTTATTATTATCATTATTATTACTGTTATTATTATCCTTATTGTTATTATCATCATCATCATTGTTACTAGGACTATTATTATCATTATTATTACTGTTATTATTATCCTTACTACTATTATTATCCTTATTGTTATTATCATCATCATCATTGTTACTAGGACTATTATTATCATTAATGTTTTTATCATAATTTTTATTTTCATTATTATTATCATTAATGTTTTTATCATAATTTTTATTTTCATTATTATTATCATTTGTTATTATTATCATTATTATTACTGTTATTATTATCCTTACTACTATTATTATCCTTATTGTTATTATCATCATCATCATTGTTACTAGGACTATTATTATCATTAATGTTTTTATCATAATTTTTATTTTCATTATTATTATCATTAATGTTTTTATCATAATTTTTATTTTCATTATTATTATCATTTGTTATTATTATCATTAATGTTTTTATCATAATTTTTATTTTCATTATTATTATCATTTGTTATTATTATCATTAATGTTTTTATCATAATTTTTATTTTCATTATTATTATCATTAATGTTTTTATCATAATTTTTATTTTCATTATTATTATCATTTGTTATTATTATCATTATTATTACTGTTATTATTATCCTTACTACTATTATTATCCTTATTGTTATTATCATCATCATCATTGTTACTAGGACTATTATTATCATTATTATTACTGTTATTATTATCCTTACTACTATTATTATCCTTATTGTTATTATCATCATCATCATTGTTACTAGGACTATTATTATCATTATTATTACTGTTATTATTATCCTTACTACTATTATTATCCTTATTGTTATTATCATCATCATCATTGTTACTAGGACTATTATTATCATTAATGTTTTTATCATAATTTTTATTTTCATTATTATTATCATTTGTTATTATTATCATGATTTTGATTATTGATGTTATTATTATCCTCGTTAGTTTCGTTTTTATTGTTATTATTACTGTTATTATTACTATCGTCATTATCATTATGATCATTATCGTTTTTACTATTATTGTTGTTATTATTATCATTATTATTATTATTGTTATTACTATTATTATTGATATTATTATTATTGCTTATCATCATGATGATTTTAAATATCATTATTCTTGTTGTTATTGCTATTACTATGTTATTGTTACTGATATTATTATTATCATTTGTTATTATTATCATTAATGTTTTTATCATAATTTTTATTTTCATTATTATTATCATTATTATTACTGTTATTATTATCCTTACTACTATTATTATCCTTATTGTTATTATCATCATCATCATTGTTACTAGGACTATTATTATCATTAGGTTGTTGTTGCTGTAGTTGCATAATTGGAGAAATTGTTGTCTCTTTATTTCAATACCTTGGCGAGTCCTCTGCAAGACTTTTTCCAATTATATCCAGATTTACTTGCGCCTAAATTAAATAAGATTACCTTTTAGTTTATTTCGTTTTATTTCAATTTATTTTTGTCGTAACTCCATTCATGCCACTAGCATACTCCTTCCTCGCCCACCATTTCTATCAATCCTCGATCGAAATTGTAGCAACAGTAAAATAATAATAATAGTAATAATAATAAATAATAAAAATAAAGATGGAAGATTATTTTTAACATCCCTCCCAATCCCTCTCTCTCTCTCTCCCTATAAAAAAAACAAATAAATAAAAAAATAAGAATAAAAACCTTCCTTCTTGCTTCCAGGTTATTCCCTCATCACAAACCCGTGGTGGAGTCTGCCCTTCGAAATGCTGGAGTGCTTCACCGTCTCCCTCATGAGCACGGCCGCCGTTACGTACACCGCCGACCTGTCCACGCCTGCCACCATCGCCAGTCTGCAGGGCATGTACGGCGGAATTCACTATGGAGTCGGTGAGTTTTTTTTTTTTTTTGGGTGGGGTGGGATGGGGTGGGGGGTGGGGGGAAGTTGGTGCTTTTGCATTTGTGTTTTATATTGGTGGTTGCTCTTAACTATAACACTCATACACAGACTCACAGACACAAAGGCGGATCACACACACACACACACACACACACACACACACACACACACACACACACACACACACACACACACACACACACACACACACATACCAAATGAGAGAGAGAGAGAGAAAGAGAGATAGAGAGAGAGAAAGAGAGAGAGAGAGAGAGAGAGAGAGAGAGTGAGAGAGAGAGAGAGAGAGAGAGAGGGGGGGGAGAGAGAGAGAGAGAGAGTGAGAGAAAGAGAGAGAATAGATAGTAAAATAGGTGTAGCTGAGACAAATATAGACATATACATATACATTCAAATAAAAGATATAGACATAGATATATAATCAAATAAACTACCAATTGCAGGACGCGGCCTGGGCAGTCTGCTGGGCGGGTTCCTGATCGGGCCGCTGGGCATCCGCACCACCTTCAGACTCATGGCCATCGTGTGCCTCGTCACCTGCATAACGTATTTCGTGATCAATCGGTCATTCTTCCGAAAACACCAGTTGGAGAGGAAGAAACGGCGGGCCGAGGAGAAGCAAGAGGAGAAGAAAGAGGAAGAAGCGCAGAAAAACGCAGTGAATATGACCGAGAATGACCCTGAGGTCGCCATCAAAAGTAGTTCCACAGAAAACGGTGTAACGGAAGGGAAGACCAAAAATAACGTTGTGACGGAAGGGAAAACCAAAGATAAGGGGGATAAAAGCCTGAAAGAGGAGACAAATCCTGCTTTTGAGAATGACCAAGACAAATAAGATAAAATAAAATTGAGATAGATATAATATTTGTGTGTATATGTGTGTGTGTGTGTGTATATATATATATATATATATATATATATATATATATATATATATATATATATATATATATATATATATATATATATATATATTTACATATATTTACATATATGTAAATATATATATACATAAATAAAATGTATGATTAATAGATACTTATAGATCAGTGTGTAGATAGAGTGAGAGCTACTAACTAATATATTGGTAGACTGATAGGTAGACATTTATATGGTAGATTTGTAGAGATAATTTTGTGTTCTTGCTTTCATGGATCTGATTTTCTGTCTTTCCCTCCCTCCCTCCCTCCCTGTCCCTCTCTCTCCCCCTATCCCATTCTCTCTCTCTCTCTATCCCTCACCCTCCCTCCCTCCCTCACTTCATGTTTTTTATACATGTACAGAAACTTTATTTATTACTTTCATATGGATAACGTTTTATCATAGCATTCAAAATACTCCACCTTTGTTTTCACTTTGCCTTTTTTCTTTTAATAAAAGTTTATAAACTTTAGTGTTGAATACAAAAGTCATTTTCCTTAACAAGCCATTTGTTTCACCGGTTGTGGTTGTTGGGAAAGATTCTCCTCTAAAGTAAAACCCCTTTTTAGTTTGTTAAACATTCCATCATTTCTACAGTATAATATAATAAGAAATATTCTCCACAATGCAATATACAAATGTAAGGCCATTTCAACTAAATAGTCTTGTTCCTTACAAAATAAGTTGGAAGATAATTTAAGCATTTGCAATTAGGAGATTCAACAAATATATACCTACTTTTTAGGGATGGGGCAGATGCAGAATAAGGTACATTATATGCATAGCTCAGTAGCTTTGCTCCAAGGACCATACCACACGTCATGATTAGACAAAATGAATATGGCCTCAGATTAAGCCACAAACACGTCTAGACTCAATACAATATACCTTTTTTTTCTCAAATATTTCAAACTGTAGGATTAAAAACCTGAGATTTAAAAGTTTTCAATTGTTTAATAGTTTTGCTATGTAGATTTATATATATATACACAAAATACAAATGAAACAAGTATAAGTGGTCAATGACACTTTAATTACCAGACACAGTAATCTTAATGCCTCAAAGTCATTCCTGTATTGATTGTCTTAGCCATGGTTTTGCATCAGTGAATATTTTTTTTTTTTCTATAATTTGGAATATAATGCAATTAGGACAATAAATGTTTCCAAAGAACATGATTTATATACAAGATTTTGGACAGAGCTTACTGAACTATTGTTGAGAAAAGTATGAATGAAATTGAATAATTACACAGGGCAAGGTTAATTTTACAATCTTTGTCTAAAATGTTCATCCTTTTTTTTTTTTTGAAGATTGTAAAGTCTGTGTCCATAATCCAGGTTGCCTTGTGAAATTGTACACACTCATACCTACTTTCATGATTCTGTGGAAACACCAACTCATATCATTGTTGTAGTTCATCTTTTCATGAATTCAGTATCGAATTTTGACTTTGCAACTTCAAAATATACTTTTCCTTAAGAGGCTGGAGCCTGAAACATTAGCATATAACTTTCTGTTAATCTAGACTCCTTTGCATGGCACTTCATTCTCTTTGCATTATGCCAAAATAAAAAGTGGTTTTACCTTACATGCACTGACATTCATGATTAGACTTTTTTTTTTTCTAAGGACAGTAATAATTCTGTCTGTTATCACTGTCTCCATCATAAATCTCTGAAGTTGAAACTTAGAACTAAAATATAGAATAAAAATAAAAAATCTTTAATTTAAAAGTATTAAACTTTATTGAGCACAGATGCACATACATATCTCTGGATAAATAATTAAAATTTGTAAACAATTTTGTGTTTAGGAAAAATCCGCATAGAAACTGTGAACTTCCTACAACGGATAAGACTAGATGGTGATGTTAGGACAGTAATATTGGATCTCTCAAGATATAATCGGATTTATCCAATTTCAAGCATTTTCTTGTTTTTTTTGTTTTGTTTTATTTTTTCTTTGTAACTTTAATCTGTGAGCCTTATCTTCTCCATGATAATTCATTGGTCAAATTTGTGTGTGATTCCTGAACAAAATCTCAACGTGGATTTTTCAAGACATTTATTTTTAAATTTTCTCTTTCATTTTTCCCAAAATTCTGAAAGCACCAATCAACTCCTTAAACAAATGATAGCAAAATATGATCCAGCTCTGACACATTGAGGACCAAAAGCACCACTATATATATATGAGGATTATATACATACATACATACATTATATATATATATATATATATATATATATATATATATATATATATATATATATATATATATATATATATATATGTTATGTATATATGGAGCATGAATTTCATAAAATAACACAGAGCATGGAGGCTTTATGAAAAATGCTGATAGTCCTAAATGCCAAAATTTACTTTCAAATAGTCATTTGCTCAATGGAGACCGTAGCTGGCAAATACCGCACAGTTACTTACAGGACCAAACTGGGCTTGATACTATCCATCATCTGGGTCTTACTGTAAGCATCCATCAAGATTTTCTAGACATATAATCTCAATTATTGGATTCACATGTAAACCATGTTCCTGTCCAAAACAATGATGAACTTATTAAGATTCTAGAAATACACAAAACATTACAAAATATGTGAGTAAATGGCCCTATATCATTCATCTGGGGAAGCTGACCAGATTTTTTTTTATTTATTCAATATATTTCATGCATTTTCATCACATCTACATTGATAATTTCACAACTGTAGTAATATATAGCCAAAAATTTTGAAAACTATTCTTAAGGGCCACTTCATTGCCAACAAACTTGGTCTACAAGAACTGAAAAATTTAAGTGTCTTGCTGGTCACTTGCATTCCATTCAAAGGAATCACTATTTTCAACTAGCTGGCAAAAGATTAATTTCTGCACACACACAAGACTTTTCTAAATTCATCTCACAATTGACTTCAGGCATTGAAGCATTTGGCACACACACAATGGTTGGCAGAAACAGAACAGACATTATAAACTAGCAGAAAGAGAACCATATATACATTTATGCATTATAGTGTCAAATGAAACTAAATAATACGATTGCCATATTTACACTATTAACAGCTTTCTTTGTACAAATACATTCATACTCACCAAGTTTACACTCAAAAAGAAATACTATGAATTTCTCTTAGTTTTTCTTTCTCCAGCAGAAGTTATATATAATAGCCTGGTACATAATAGTTTTGCTATATATAAAATGCTACAGGTATAAAAAGTCTGCAATGACAACACAGAATGAATATTGGTGACTATCTAGCATGCAGGAATATTGTGTGGCCTAATGAATGAGTACAAGAACCTATTTCCAAAAGTGCCCCAGCCATCCCTCACACAATTAATTATTAGGACTGGTGTGGGATATTGTTGTGGGGAAAATCTCCTTTATGAGCTAAGTATGTGGTTAATGAATATATGAATTAAAGCAACATTCAAGAAGATCAGCATCAACTTAGTGTCAATATCTCACAGAGATTTAAGTTTCAGTTCTAATATAAAGTACTAATGGACAAAGTAACTTTCAAAACCTCATGTTTTGCAATCTGTCATTAGTATATATGAAGTCTTAATTCATTATCCTGCAATATGTATTTAAACTATAATATTTCTGATTTCATTAAAAAAAACATATTAAACATTTAACAAAAGAACAAAAAACAAAGGAAATAATCATATGAAGCGTCTTCAATGGTTTTAAAATCTCCATCAACAACACTCCAGCAAGACAAAGAAGCCAATATGATTATAAGGTCTACTACCACAATATTTGTTTACAGGATGGACGTCATAAGTGAAAAGACTACAAGTTAAAGTGTCTTTTAAACACTTGCAAGAACTTGGAATAATGAGCGAGAGATTTATGAAAAATGGCAGCCTGAATACACATTTTTGCAGAGTCACTTTCCATCGAAGATGAAAATTTCCTGTAGAATCTCATTCCCTCTGAAACACTGCAGCTTTTTATAGGGAAGATTTCTTTCTCCTAAATTGAAGCAGCATTTCAATGTACACATACCATAATACAATAGTAAAGAGAAAAAAGCTGCAAGACAATGCTTCATTCTCATACCCATCATAACTTTACAAATCTTTAGTAGGACCCTTATACTTTTAGTATTCAATCTACTGGCTCAATACATTTTCTACCAAAATAGATATTATATAAGAAGGCGTATGACTCAAAGATCAATTCTTTCAGTGGGCTTATACCTTTTTAGGGATTTTTCCATGTTAACTCGATGCCCAACCCTTCTCACGCCTAAATTTATAAGCGATTCATTGTTAATATCCATGAGTTTCTTCCCATCAATATCCTGTTCCTCAAAGGAGTCTTTGTACTCGGGCATAAATATACTTTCTAGCCACTCAGTTGTATCACGTGTCGTCCACTCGGTCAGGGTCTTGTGTCTGAATCTTGGTAGCAGTTCCTCCTCCTCTTCATGGACATTTGGGCCCCTTCTTCCAGGCTGATCAAATTCTTCTTCACCAATATGGATAACAGTCTTGTTATTTTTCCTGCCTTGGGCTCCAGCCATGGACATATCGCAAAACTCTGGAGGAGGCGCCAGGACCATCTCCCCACCACCTGCTTGCTCTCGAGTAGGAACTCCTGCCAGCGTATTCACTTCGTTGAGGGAGTCCATGTGCATACGGATTAACTGCAAAGATTCTTCAATACTCCTCTCATACTCCGTCTCTCCCGTATCAACATTAGTGCTCTTCTTATAGCTATCTCTTTCCAGTGTAGAAGAGCGAGAGGTGGGTGGTGCACTCTTTTCCCTCACAGCCATATGTTCCCCTTCGACCTCCCAATGTTGTTCTCTTGTTGTGGGCCGACTTCGACCAAGTGTTCCAGTGACTGTTGCTCTGATGGCCTGGCTCACTGGGGGTGCTGAGCTTCCTCTAGAGCTTGATGCACTTGAGGGAGGCCTTGGGAGGGTGGCTCTCATCTGTAATGAGCTTGGTGCTGAGCTGGGTACTTGGCCAGCATGCATAGGATGCTGCATTTCTCTCTCTCCTGTACTGCCTGATCCAGATGACAAGCTGCTAAGTGATGATAATGTACTTATAGTATCTTGATCAACGGAGCGAGACATAATTCGCCCTTGTCCAACATCTAGCTCCGTGTCTAAATCTGGCTCAGTTGTTTCTTGTGGAGGAGGAAGCTTCACTAATGACACTGCATTTCTTGTCAGAGTTCCTGATCTTCGAGCACCATTACTATCACTGTCTTTCCCTGAATCACTTCCTTTTTCATTTGTTAATATCCAAGTGCGATCACTAGCTTCATCAGAGCTTTCAGATGCCTCAGAACTGTCATCTCTGGTCCCATGTCTCACAAACCTATCTGTTTTATTAGCAGATATGGTGTCAGACTCTGTGTTGATGACTGTCACATAATTTGACTCTTGATGAACATCCTGATCAGAGCTTACTCCACTTGAAGAATTATCCCCATCTTCAAGATTAAAATCATGGGGACAAGAACGGGAATTCTTCATCTTTAAGGTAGACTTTGAATCCTCCCTCTGCATAGCTGGAGCAGGTCTGGCTTTGGTTCCTGTCGGTACAGTTTTCTCCTTTTGTCTGTTAAAGAGGGCAGATTCCTGGATAGCATCTGATATGGCCTTGCCATTACCATTACCATTGCCATTACTTCCATTGGCTCTCTTACTTGGACTTGATGTTGCTGACCTTGTTTGTTCAGGTCCATCATCTTGTCTAGCCTGCCTCTCAGCTGCTTTCTGAGCTATCAAGTCTTTGAAATTGCCAGCCAAAGGTGTTGGGTGCTTAGCTGGTGCAGCATAATGAGGTATGTCAGATGACTCTGATGTGGAAGTCACAAGATTAGGAGAAAATGCCACTGTGGGCTTTTTCTTCTTCAGGGTTCTGGTCTTCTTTGACTGAGACTCATCTTGAGAGTTGTAAGTATGATCTTCATCTGAACTATAATCTGGTTCAGGGATGTCAGGTGCTGGAGATGCTACAGAACCTGGTCCTGTATAAGCTTTACTTGGAGAACTAGACTCTGCACGATCATGTATACTCTTGTTATTCTTGGGTCTTGCATATGTAACAGTATCACTAACTGGGGTCTTTCCAGCACTACTGGGTGATACAACTTCACGACTTCTTGATGTTTCCCCTTCTGTTCCTCTGAAGGTGGAATATGTTGTAAGGTATATTCCAGAATCAAGAGATGTGTCCTTGTCTGGGGAACCCCTCTGTACACTAGGTCTATTGGTGCTTGGGGGTAAGCTCTGAGAGCGACTTTTAACACTGGCATTTTTACGATTTAATGTCGCCATCATTTCAGGACTGCGATAACCAACTGTCTTTATTTCTTCTGGTGACGCATAAAGCTTAGCACAATCAGTAGGTCTAAAGCTGGACTGAACTCCTGGTGACACTGGCATAGCCTCTGGGGTGGAAGGAGCAACTCCAACAGTTGCATAATCACTTTTGGATCTACTAATATCCACTTTCACGAGCTGTCCTAGTGGTGGAGGAGGTGGTGGGTGTGTTGGTGGTGGATGTAGGCCTGCTTTACGCAACATAGTAGTATTGACAGCAGACTGTGATCGCCTTAACATACGATATTCCAATGGGCCAGGAGAAATGTTGGGAGAATCACTGCTCTCTTCTTCTGTCCCTTCCTCACCACTCTGCCACGACTCTTTAGACTCGGGAGACCCCACCGTGATCCTCTCCAGAGTGCTCGAGTGGGGTGGCGGACACACAAGGGAGTGTCGTGAATTGCGTTCGTTTAATGCTGTCACGAAGAGGTCTTCCTGTGAAACAGACTTGCGCTTCTCCTCGATGGTAAAAGCTGGAAGGGTACCCGTGACCCCGGCTTTCAAGTCTGGGGTAGAATGGAAACCCTTGTGCAGTCTGGTAAGGTCCAATGGCTGCCGAGCCTTCAGGGCCTGAAAGATTTTCAAAGTTTAATAATTTAACAAGAAAAAAACAAAAAAACATCGAAACTAATGCTGTATGTCTCCATACAAACACAGTTACTGAATCTTCCAATGCCCTTGGTTTTTCATTCTTGTGCATCACAGGCAAGCACCTTTTGTATGCATAGTTCTGAACACTTTTCAAAGTAGTCACTCTATTTAACATGCATAGCAAACACTTTAATAAATAAGCAAATAAGGCAAGGGACAGCAAACTGGATGTAAAAAGGTCACTGTAAATGTCAAAAAGGTAATTTATCTGTGGTGCAATATAGTAAACTAAACTTGGGAACTAATGAACTATGTATGTAAAAGTTGTTTGCTAATATATACTATTGTACTGTGATGCTAACTATGATGAATGTTGTTGGGAAAATATCTTATGAAACATTGGAGATGTATGCTAATGTTACTTTCAGAGAAGACAATGATTATATAGCTCTTTCAGGCCAAATAAAAGCCTAAGCTTGTTATAGCTGATGCAATTATAAGAGAAAAAAAACACACAAAAAAAAACAGTGCCTTTCTTTAAGATGTAATTGAACTTACACATCATGTGCATAACAATCACACCATCAATAATGCAATGATCAAATTTTATAAATACTGACAGAAAAAGAACAAACGAGAAAAAAGTTACACACTCAGACATGGTTAATATCCTGCCGAGAGGCTGAAGCGATACCAACCTTTGCCTTCTTCATCTCAGCCACACTGGCATACACACGAGGAGGACGCCCAGTAGGAGTTGATGGAGGAGAGGAGGGAAGAGAGCCAGACTGGGTCATCATGTCCTCCATCTCGGCAGCTGTCATGCGTTTGGAGGAAGGTCGGGCTTTGATGGATGCTACCTTGAGGCCTGGTGGGGTACCCACTGGCGTGCCTATGGTGGGCGTTCCCTGGGGTGTCCCATACTGGCTCCCACTGGTGTAGTGACTGACACCATAGTGACTACTGCCATACGGGCCGCCACCAGGGAACTGTCCGGCGGAACGGGACATCAGGTCTCCGTTCTCCCTCATGCTGGCATCCAGTGCTTCTATAGGGGCAAAATGCTTGATGTCAGTCAGGACTTTAGGAGGAATTTGACATTCTGTTATTGCAAATCAAGATAGCTGTGCATGCAGGCTTTTTCTGTACTCATTGGTAATTGCATCTGAAATTTCCTTGTCAAATAATCCAAGCTTTTTCTTGTCCTTTTTTTTCAGAAGATCTGGGGAATGTATACTCTACATGCACATGCTCTTAAGGTTTGGTGTTATTTACGACATGCAAACTCTATGCACTATGCAAAGCTGATTAGAAGGAACAGTCCCATATCTGTGATTTTCATCTGAAAAATCTGAATGCAATCTTTCTGTTATTTAAAAATATGGATTTTAACCTAAACCTAATCCTTCTTAAATAGACATGGAAACAAATAGATAAAAAAACATTCAAACAAAACAATAATGATGAAATAAAACATCAATTAAAAAAAAATTCACTTCACACACTTACATTTACATGAATAGCTATGAAATAAACAAAA